TATTTTATCTTTTTCTTAAAGGGGTAAGATCATGCTTGTCTATCTTAAGCTATGCATAAACAACATCAACAAATTCTAACATTATGAGAAACAACTGTTTGAGATACTCCAGAGAGACTCAGAGCTCTTTCATTCTTGGAGATATTCAAGAGCCATGGATATGGTCCTGGACAGCTGGCTCTAGGCGGCCTTGCTTGAGCAGGGGGTTTAGACCAGATGAGCTCCAGAGGTCCCTTCCAACCTTAACTAATCTGTGATTCTTTATGGTTTCCAGCAATATTTCCTACTAGATTGCAGATGGCTTCCTTATTTACTACTTAATTATTTATTTATTGATTACTCCCAAATTAAGAAACAAAAGAGTACTTTTTTCCTATTGGTTATAGCTAGATACCACTACTTCTGGGATTCCCTCCAACCAACTGACTTGGATTGGCTACCAAATAGCTTTGGTTAATGTTAACTTACTACCATTTTCTGACCTTAGAATGTCAATGGAATTCAAAGCATGATAAATTTGTTTCTTCCCCTCTGATTTGTACTGTACACCTGGCCTTAACAAGGATTCACACATTACTAACAAAATGTTGGTTCTCTCTGTTGAAAGGCTATGCTTAGCTGTGAAGAAGCACCTGTCTCACAGTAGAACACAGTAAGTGTCATCAAATGCTGTTATCATCTATAAATTGAAACATCCAATACACACACAATTTCAATATGCACTATAATCCTTAACTGTTCATATAAAAGACGTAAGGTTGTTCACAAAGCAGGTAGACTTCACATTATTTTACAGCAAGCTCTTGCTCGTTTAGTTCTTGTTTTTCCCACTCAGTAATTCATTTCCAGTAATTCATTTCCCACTCATAATTCACTATTTTCCATCTCATGTTAGTTATTTTTCCACCCCTGAAAGATGGGGGGTGAAGAAAGGTATATTCACGAGCAAGATCCTTAGCTATACAGGAGACAGTTAACTCTCTTAAAGAGGCAGACAGGCCAGAAGGAAAAACACAAGAGCATACATTTGAAACTGCATGGAACTCTTCCTACTTATGATCAGCTGAGGAAGAAGGATGACAGCAGTAAAGATAAGAGACCTTGCAGTTGAAGAAAATGAAACTTTCACAAGGGAAATTCAGTATATTCCTGCATGTTGCTTCATAAACCAAAATCTCCCCTAAGTAGTTGACTTGATAGTTCAAAATCCACTTCACTGACACACAGTTGATTGGAGAAGCAAACAAAACCCAGTCGTCCCACATGGGTAGGCCTCTGGAAAATGGTGTACTTAAATCACCAAGCTCCAATGCACTTAGACTGTAACTGTGGCAATACTCTTTCCAGTCTCTCAAAACTCCTAAGATACTTTTGACACTGAGTGTGAAGTCACTTTTGGTTTCTCAGACCTACTGTAGCACAGAATTACTCGTATGTTGTCTCGATGGGGCTTGGGAGGAGGGCTCCAAATATTAGGAAGTTCAGTTGTAATCATTAGGAGGACTGAGCATAGGAGAGACCAGACATCCAAGTGCCTGAGCCTCACCTTCCAAAGCTTTCAGGCAGTTCTAATTTCATGTGAAGTCCAAAGGTTTGTCTCAAAGCAGGTATCTAGACCTCATAGTGAATGAAGCAATGGAAATTAGAGTTTAATTCACAGGCTGTGTCAGCTGCATAGCAGACAATGAAGTCCTGGAAACTCACTACAAGATCGAAAGCTTATCTTTAAAAGTGGAAATTAATTCCAGGACTTGATGGAAAATTCATTTAACTTCAAACATCCGGTTTTATGTGGTGCTCTTCCCTATTAAAATACTGAAGAATGAAATGAAAGGGTGCTGTAAAATGCCATTGATAGTACGTTGTGATTATTTGCGTACTCAACTATTTGTTGAGCCCGGTGCCTGTCCCATACTGCTTCAAAACAAGATTAGTATCAAATGTAGCATTAGACTCACAGACTTTACAGACACGCTTGTAGACCCAAAAGCACTGACCAGCCTGCCCAAAACAGGCACTAACACTGGAGAAGGTAGTTACGAGACCTTGTCACAGCTTTTGTAAAATTCACCACACGGGATGCTCGCTTGGGTACAGCACAGAATGAGTTTCACGTGTCTTATACTTTTAAAGTTCTAGATGTGGCTATTCATTGAAACCCTTTAAAATATTTTCGAAGTGCAATCTATACTCTTCCTTTGGGAAAACAATAACATCACATTTATTTTCAAAATTATATCTTTTCTTTTTTGCCAAACTTTTCACATTTTTCATTTCGAATTTTTATATCATCCTAACATGTAGGAAATCACAGCACAGAACAGATTTATTTCCTGAAATGATCTAAAAATCAGGAGTACAAAAACTGGAAACAAGGACATACAGCTTAGAATTAATCTGATGGAAGTGTTTAAATGACACAACCAAAAAGGCTAAAGTGCAAAACTAGTAACAAGTATCAAAGAACAAAAAAAGCCACAAGAAAAGATACTATAAATATACTAGGAAAAGAGGACAAAGTAAAATACAGAACTATTACACCAAAGAGAGGGAAAGCAAATAACAGATGATACAAAGAAATCCCAGTGATCAATACCTTCACTGCTCCAGTCTTTACAAAAAAATTAATTGTGGCCAGATGCTTAACGCTAGTGATTTTAAGAGGAAAAACTGCAAGTCAGATAACAGAAAGCTGAAAGATATTCTGATGACCTCGATACACTCAAGTTGGCAGAATCTTGTGAAATTCACTCTAGAGTTCTTAACTAACTAGCTGAAGAAACCTGTAATCCATTAGCAACTGTCTTTCAGGAATGGAGAGAACAGAAAAGGGCAAATACCATATCTTTCTTTGGAAAAGAAAAAGGGAACATGTGGGGAACTACCAACCAGCAAACCTGAATCTGACAGCAGCAAGAATATTTGACAAAATTGTTAAATAAAGAATTTATCAATACCTAATTGATAGGAAAGGTAATAAGAACCAGCTGACATGAATTTATCAAGAATGAATCGCATCAAATCAGTTTAATTGCTTTCTCAACTGAGAAACTTGCCTAGTGGACAAGAGGAGGAAGTAGATGTAAAATACTTCAGCTATAATAAGACTTTTTTTGCTGCCCTAGATGATACTCCAGTAAACAAATTAGAGAATTACATTCTAGGTGAAATCACTGCAAGGTAGACAAACATCTGGTGGGAAAAAATGCACTTACTGAGTAGCTTTCAAGAGCTGGTTGTCAGATCTGAAATGGAATCATGAAGAGGTCTGACAATATTTCCATTAATGATCTGGATGAAGAAATAGAGAGCACATTCATGAAAGTGAACTGAGTATCAGGCTGCAAGTGATTTAAAGCACTCTGGGGGACAGGATTACGATTCCGTATTATCTTGATAAATCATCAGAAAACATCAAGTACTAGAAAGAAATAGTGAAGAATGCTTAATTTGTGAAATAACTATGAAAACCTGACTCCAACAACACTGACCAGGTACATTCACCTCCAGTCCAAGCATAGGACCCAGAAGAGCTGCAGTGTTTCGCACTCCAGTTAGAAAACTGTGGCAAGTAAAGGTACAGAATGCTGCAAACTGTATTTTAGGTATAAGCAAGCCAGAGCTTAGTGGAACCTACATAATATTGAGAAGGAAAGACAAAGATGTAGGATTGAAGAGAGGATTTAGTCCTTTATTTTTGAACTCTCACATCTGATTGGTTTGTATCTCCAAATAGTGAATAAATAACCCTTTCTGAAATTGAAAACAAATTGTTTCTGTATCTGTGTTAAGATTGGTTACAAGTCTCTAAAGGAGAAAGGCTTGAAAATGACACTCGCATCCACCACAGTAACACAGTCAGGCAACAGTGGGGCTGCAAATCAGAGACCCTGATTGGAGGTAGTTTAGCTCCTTAGAGGCAGATAGACCAATTTACTAGAAATGTATTTGAAAAGAGCCCTGTAACTATACTACTATAATTAATATAAATATGAAAATTGCTCAGAATATAATTGTTGTGATCAACCTAAAACATTTGGGAGAGAGGGAATCTGGGCAAACTAGTTCTGGGTACTTGACACAATTTGGAAAAACGCTGAATCTCAAAATTCTCCACAAAACAGATTCTTCATTCAGCTCTGTTTCTGACCTAACCATCTACAATATCTCCACTGAATCAAGAAGTGCCATGAATAAAATTTAATGAGGAGGAAGAAAATATTTCTCATTCAAATGCCTGCCAGACCACACCATACTTAGTTTTCATGTACCGTGGCAGAGAGTACTTTTCATACTTTGATCATTGTTAGTACTGCCTGCTCCCACCAAAGTATTTCAGAATTCTCTTCTACAGGAAAATAATAATAAAAAAGCTATTCCTCATCATATCCAGCAATTCTCAGAGCTACTCCTTACATGAGCCTGATATTTTTAAACACTGCTCCTATTTGACTATGTCTTTTAAGGGATAATACTTGGGTTTTGTTATGAAATAATTGGCTACCATGTTTTTGAGTATTTATTTGAGATGCTTTAAAATATTTATTTGAATTGCTTTTGAAAACCATACAGAATTAATTGGGGTCAAGGATACAAAATACCTAATTGTTTTTCAATGACAGGTCTGATCTCCATCAATGAGGTTAAGGTTTCACAAAGGTTAATGCAATCTAACTGCTACCACCCAAAGGAGCAGTCTCACTGCTGCGTGTTCCCACCGTTTTCATTAAACCAGCCTCTTGTGTTGATCTCTAATTCAGCTCACTAAACTGGCAGAAAACTAATGCAATAAAAAGGGAGGTGCAGGGGAAGTATTTTCAGTCAGCAGGAGAGCTGCTAAATTATCTCAGACATTCTGTAAACCTCATCAACAGGAATGTAACTGCTGATGTCAACAAACTTGGTCTTCATTGAATAGAAGACCACCTTCTTGATATATACTTCCAAATTACAATGCAGGCTGCATGGTTACATTCAAAAACTAAAATCAATCAACTTACTGCGAGATAGATTCTCAAGGGCTTTTCCAAGTTTTTTGCTCTCTTGAAGAATATGATTTAGTTCATCAAAATCATGGTTCTCCGGTTTTGTCCTCCAATCCCATTTAGGATGCTCTATTGACCTTGGCACTAAATATACACAGATATATAGATGAAGTTTAGATTTGGTAGTTCAGTTTCCTACAGTAGAAAAAAAGCTGCACAATGAGTTTACGAGCTCAAGTACCTTGAGTGGAAATTACTTAACTATTCTCCTATTTTAACAGCTGGAAATATTTCCTTTGGTCATTGTGAAGGAAAAATGAAAACATCTATGAACAAATGTATACTTGGGATGATTCTTGCAATTGAATTAATTGGTAAACAGGAATAATTAATATTAACAATTAAAAATATTAAAGATAATGCAATAACAGAAAAATGTACTAAAAATACTGCATATGAAGGTATTTCAGTTACAAAATAGAATTGTGTGTCCTAGGGACCAAGAAGGAAAAATGTTAAAATTAAAATGAGTAACTAGTACTTTTGGTTTTGTTAGTCATTTTATCAAAAAGAAAAAACAAATATTTCAGATAAAGCTTTTAAAACAACACGTATATACAATTTTTTTAAAAAATCAAAGTGTAGATAACAGTTCATAAAAACAGCAAAACAAAATACATCCCTATTGCTTATGCTCTACAGCTTATAATCTTTATTCCAATACTTAAAAGTAAACAAACCCAATCTTTGGGAAACACAGTCCTGAGCTGCCAGTTTCCTACTCATTATCTATTACCAAAACCTTCGATTTAGTTTTAAAATAACAGTTTCTCAACAGCTGAGCTAACTTTACCTACAATGGCAGGGAAGAAGAGAAGGGGTTTCTGAGATATGTACGACCCGCAATGAACAGGGCTGCATTGACCAATGTGAACATTCTGGACAATTTGTAGAAATTAAAATAAACATGATGCTGTCTCTGGAACTACAGTTTAAGATGTTCTTTTTGCCAGTGTTCTGAAGCAAGCGATCTGCTGCCCTTGCTACCAAACACAATTGTTGGGTTGTCTCCAAACACAGCATTACCGTGCTGAGAACCACACATACTGGTGTGAAGAAGACAATGCCTAGTCCACATCCCCAACAGAAAGGACCAGTTGCATTTATCAATGGTTGCTAACTACTCACTTAAAAGTAACTTCAAAAGCAAAGCCTATAATGTCTAACACATCCTGGTCAGCATTGAAATTTTTATTTACTATTTTGACAGCTATCAATTAATTTACGCTTACAAATTTCATTTTCATTACATGTTGAGAAGAAAACTTGCAGACTCCTACAGACCATGCAAAAAAGTGTTATGTTATGATCATTTGGAATTTCAGAGTGCTTTTATGATGGTATGGGGAAATTATGCTCAGACTTTGTGTTCTGGTAGCTATGTGTTAAATTACTGTTGCTATTGAAATTTGCTTTATTCCTGATTGCCTTCTATGTGAATATAGAATCTGCTCCACTTTGGATCAACTCCCCAAGGGAAAGTTGAAGTTAAGTCAGTAGCCAACTTTTCCAGGTAAAGAAACATGACAACGGTACATTTAAGTCCTTCCATCACAAAGAATGTGACTTCATCTCCCACAGGCATAAACTAAGCCATCTTCAAACTGGACATCTATACAGAGTCTGACAACCCAGAGTGTATTCTGATCTGTAACACCCACTCAGAAACCCGGGTAAGTATGAGGGAAGTTAATACGTTAGACTGCAGTTAGCGACATCCTCAAAGACAGAAGACAAAGGAGACGTTAAAAAGGACCTAGAGAGGTAAGAGTAGGAGGTAAGACACACAGGAAACCTCAGTAAGGAGAAGGGAAGAGTGGAGGAAGTTGAAGTGTCAGAGTTTGGTTCTGCTTTGTGTTCAAAACAGACAAGTCATGTATTTCCTTCTGAGGACAACGGAAATAATGAGCTGTGGTGATTCCCAGTGAATAGATACAGGCCTTAAGGTACTACGGTATGACTAGCCTCTACACAGATGGACAGCTTATAATTTTTGTTGATACTTTTACATGCCAATCATTTAATTTATTATTGCCTGGTTTAGGAACCACTATGTTCTAACTAAAAGCTATCTAGATTTTTATGTGACCAAAAATTGCCTCCATTCATAGTCCCTAGTGTAATTAACTTAAATAGCACAACTTCAGCATTCCTCATCCTTTTTCTTATTTACAGAAAACAAAATGTTCCACCTAGTATTTTTTCTAAACTTTTACTAACTGTAAATATGAATATTTAGTAAGCTAGAAAAGAAATTCTATAATGAGCTCTATTTTTGCTCACCTTTGTTTTGTATTGAGATCACACATTCCTTTACTGCCTGCTTTTTCAGCCATCTCATTTTCTCCCTTCAGTGTATCAACACTATACTCTACAGCATCATTCACTCTAGTCTATTAGCAGTTTGACAGATTTTTCTTTCCATGTTTATACCGAATTCTTCACACCAAAGAAAACTCACAGCACCACCAAAATATAATTTGATATAATAAACCCATGTACAAAGATGACAAAACCATAGAGCTTCCAGGTTGCAGATAATTTCAACAAGCTGGAATTTGATATCATTGTCAATTTGAAACAAACCACATTTTTCAAAATACCAAAGGACAGAATTTTTGAGAAACCATATAATTTTGAAATAAACTTTGTCATGGGACAGAAGCTGAATGAAACAAATGTGAGTTCTATTCAACAGCTGTGGAGCTTCCAGGATCAGCAACTGCCAAGGCTCAGCAACTGCCAAGTATATGGACCAATCTGCGTCAGGAAAATGAAAGTATCAAGACTGCCCTTGAAAAGTAGGGAAACTTGCTGAAGACACAATGGTCCGGTCCCTAGTTTCAGAGAAATGTCCCACAACACAGGAAGCTTGGACAGCATGTCACTAGATGGATGGTGGGAAACCAGTCAAAAACATGGCAGAAATTCCCTCTGCACGCTGGTGTACTACAGTCTGTGTTTCCGTGGATCATTTTGTACTTCAGTGAAAATTAACAAAACAGATATGTTGCCATGGAATGTTTCTGAGTTTCAATAGAATTTGTTTCAACAATGAGTTTGGCTTATTCTATTGAACCAAAACTGAGGGGGAAGTTAAGCAGAATTAGAACTGACTGAAATTTTTATTACTTCTAGAGAAGATAATAGTTCTTCTTACTTACCCACTAATAAATGGATACTAAAACTAAAATCTACTTCATTACATCACATAGCATGTGTCTTTCCTTTCAAGGTTCATATTCTGCTTCCTTACAAACATTTTTTAAAATATAAACTTGTATCTTCCCAACTATAGGACCAACAAGCACTGGTCATTTTCAAATGGATGGCTTTGTGTGAAGCATGCAGAACTGTAGAAAGACCATATGACCCTTCCTTGAGATCTTGTGAAATACACGATCATCTTCGGTATGTATGAAGTCCATCATGTATCATTTCGATGCATATGTCACTACACACTTAGTAAAACCCTTTTGTAATATTCTCACCTTCCTCTTTATTATACTCACTCATTCCTCAAAAACATCGTATCAGTAATTTTAAATCTCTCATCACATTACCTGCCTCAATCTCATCTCTGTTATTTGAGAGATTTATGTAACACTATCTCTTGAAATTATTTGCCTACAATTCAGAAGATTTATTACATCTACATCATAGCACTTGCACAGAAATATTTAGGTTTTTCCCTTTATGGAGCTGAAATTTCCCCATCTCATCTTAGAAGATTGTAAAGACAAGCTTTCCAGTTTTTCTGAATTTCTGGTGGCGCACTCCCCCAACAAATGCACATCAGATTCCTTTGCAGATGTGTTATGAATTGTCACAAATCAGCAGACCTTTATTTTCTACTGGATGATGGCACAAGATCAGTACTGTTTTTATCTACATATACATGTCTTTTCAAGACATGATTCGCAGATATGATCAGACCAGTTGCTCATTAAATCCTACATCAATACATTGTATGACCATCTTACATCTCAAAGAGCAGAAATATGTGTGTTATTATGGAGCACAAAATTACTCATGTATTTAAATCTCACAAAAGCATTCAGATTAGAGTCCTTTGATACTACAGCCAGACTGGTTTACACAAAACCTGGATATTAAAAGGCTAAGAGAACAATGGCCTACAGTCCTAGGCTGACCAAGGGCAATTACAAGTACACAATACTGTAACTGGTGAGAATGGTGAACTGAAGCAGAGTGAAAGGATGATCCATGATCTGATTTAATATGGAGGTTGTGAAGAGATCAACCTACTTTGCCTAAAAGTAGCTAGCTGGGAAGCGAGAAGTCTCTTTCACAAACTATTTAGAAACTTCCAAATTTGTTCTTCTTCAAATACAGAATGTGATCATCTAAACACTTCATTAAATACATTTATATCTACACAAACACACACACACACTAGGAGCCCTAGCTTCAAGCCTCTTCCTCGCCAGACAACAGCAGTAGCTTCTTTAATGCTGTTCCTGCACACACCAAACAAGTGGTCAGATCCCTTAGATACCAGAGCTTCTTGTTTGTGTTCCAGGTGCAACTGAGAACCTAACAGACAGGAGGAAGGACTGGAGGAATCTTTCCAGTAAAGAAGTTGAATGCATAAGGAAGAGATACCTGAGCAGGAAAAACACGCACGCTGCAGTCAACATCAGCTCTGCTGAAGGAAAAAAATATTTCCTAATTAGATAAATCAATTCTCCCGATGTTTCCAAAGATTCTTATGAAATGACAATTCTCAGTTTTGAATAAACTTACAAGTTCAGGATCATTTGAACAAGACAGTCATAAGACAAAAGCTCTACAACAGAACATATTACAGCTGATGGATTTCATTAAATTTTGGGTTTGTTTTGACAGTTCTGGGGGACTTCATAGGCTGTTGGCTT